CATTCTAAATGAACGATTCTTTTATCGTTCACTTAGAATGATAACTTCAATCATTCTAAATGAACAATTCTTTTATCATTCGTTTAGAACGATAATTTGATCGTTCCAATCGAACAATTTTCTTACCGTTTGTTTAGAATGATAACTTTAATCGTTTGTTTAGAATGATAAATTTAATCGTTCTAAAGGATCTGAAATTTTGAATTAATCTGAAATTTTCGGTTCAGTTCAGATTTTTTTCAGTTCGGATTAGATTTATAATCTGAAAAAAATCTGAACTAAACCAAAAATTTTAAGATTAAAATTTTTGCAATCTGAAACCTAATTGAAGTTGATCTGAACTGAAAATTTTCGGATTAATCCAAACCGTTCAGAGCTTTAATCAAAACCAATATCAGAATCATTGTCAGAACCAATATTAAAATGATTACCAAAAAAATTATTACCAAAACCTATATTATTTTTTAACAATAATTGATAAAGTGTTTGCCCATTTTTTTTGATTTTCTAATGCTTTTACTTTTTTCGATATTTTGTTATACGTGAATTTCCTAAATACTTTAAAAGACACTTAAGGAGGTTTAATGCTTTCATATTTTCCATTAAAACTGAAAGAAATTGTTTAGCTTCATTTTCAATTTGGTCATCAATCTGCTCAACTTCATCTTCTGAACTATCTCTATCATTTGAATTTAAAGTATCAGAGGTACCATTATGATTTTTTACAATTTTAACCTTTTTTTTCTTTGATATATCTTGACATTGTTGTGTTTGTTGTTTTACCCGTCCTATAGTGAAAAAAATTGACATTGACTACATGCATGAAGGCTAGGCTATATGTGTAGATTATTATTGCATATCATCTGATCTGACTTACATTATAATTTTGGCATAATAATTGCTAATTTCGGCCAGAATTATATGTTTCAAATTTTTTTTCACTTAAGAAAATACCTGAACTTTATAGCTTAATAACTCCCAATCTAGATATTCTATCAGGATAATCTCAACATTATTTTGTAACTCTAACCAATATCTATTAAACTACGTTAAGATATTTCAAATATATGCACACAAAAATTTTTTATTAAATTTTTAAATTTGGACAAATTTATTTGATGAAATGTTATGTTCCAAACTGTACAATTATATTTGTTAGTATATAACTGTTATTAGTATTTAACTTATTAGTGATAAAACTAATTGAATTCTAAATATTTTCAAAATTGTTTTATTACAGTTATCTACCTTAACCAAGTCCTAAAATTATCCTATTTATACTAAATTTATTAATATAAATAAATAAAATACTAATTAATTATTATAAATAATAAATAATTAATAATGTAAAATTATTAATAATATAAAAGAATTTTTTGACGATTTCTAGATCTTTCATATAACCTTTATTTAATTCATTTCTTTCATCTTCGCTGTTTTTGTTATCTAATGTGACATAGTTAATATAACCTCTGATCACATGTATTATATTGTGTCAACTAATCTTTTAAATCAATATCTTTCTATTATAGTATCCCTTTCTTAAAGAATAAACTCCAGTGAAATTTCTAAAATATTTGTCATTATGAATTTCTTTGTTTATAAACTTTCAAATAATAAATTTCTATAATGTTTCAAATTATTTTATGGAATTATAAATTTTATCAATTAATTACGTAATAGGATTGCAAATTTTACTGATCAATTGTGTGATTTCACATGATGATCATTAACAAATAATTAATCAATAATTATTTGTTTATATTTTTACAAAAGAGAAAATTCTCATGATCTTGAAAATTTTTAAGAGTTCTACATAGCTACTTTCTTTATTTATAAATATTTGCTTAAAATTTTCTTTTATTTTTCTTCAAAATTTTGCTTTTCTCCAGAAATTATTATAAAATTTTAAACTTTTCTTAGAATATTTTTCAACTTTTACCATAGTTTAAGTAAACAAAAAGAAAAAGTCTCCTTTCTCTCATCATAGAGTTTTAACTTGTCAAAGAAAATACTTTAACAAAAAGGTTTCCAAAGATAAGATAGGTATACCTAAAAATGGTTTAGATATGATGACTGTTGAATAAACTGCATCTTATATAGGCTATTCTAAGTTAATTGATATATATGTAATATATTCATTGTCTGAAGACTATAATAATATGTTTGATCTCATTTAATATGACTGCAGCATATTAACTTTTTGCCCTTTCTTTCAACTTGTAAATAGAAGATTCTCGTATGAAGATGATCTAAGAAGAAATTCTTTTAAAAAAATACTGAAGACATATCATTAAAATTGCATAGCTTTTCTCTGATTATGAATATTTATTAGATAAAATAACTAAATATTCTTCTCTTTTATTTCAGGAATGTGAGACAAATAAAAAACTTGAGAGAACAATCTAATAATTTGAAGATAATATTAAATTTATCCGCTTAATAATGAATAATAAAATGGCTAATTTAGAATGATTACGAAAATATTACAAAACTTTACAATGATAAAAATGTATAAGGAGAAGTATGTAAATCCCTTGCTCAGTAAAGATAATATTTATGTAGAATTACCTTAGGAAATGAAAAAAATATATGCTCTTAAATACCTTATTATACCTGATAATGTAAATTCGCTAGTATTATTCACATATCACTCTTATTTAAATACTATTACTATAAGACTTAATCTTAAATCATATTGTGATATTGATGGCAATATAAATCTTTCTAATTATAAAAGAATAGTGTGTCAAATAAAGAGCTTACATTAGATTACTAATAATTGCAAATATGATAAAAAATGTAAATACCTTCCAATCTAATATGACTTATGGCTTGATGAATTAATATCTATAATTGTTCAAACACAAAGTTGTCTAGTAGATCAATTAGTAGAAAAGCTATATAAATTAATCCAAAAGGCAAAATGTATTATTGTTATGATAATGATTTCACTGATTTTAATATTAAATAAATTAAAATTCTTTGTAAGAATAAACTATTTTCTATTATTTACAACATTTTCTAATCTCAGAAAGAAAAGATATTTTGTTTAGCTTCTAATAAAGAAACTATATTAGCTAAACTTTGGGATTGGATTAAGAAAATATCTTCACTACTTTCTGAGAAATAAATAAGTGTATCACTTATTTATCATCTTAAAAAAGATATACAAGGAACCATTTATGCTCTTAAGATATAATTTTCAAAACTATGAATTAAGAAGTATCATAGTAAATCTAATTCAGTAGAAAAAGCTTAAGACTTTAGCAATGTAAAAGAAACATAGAAAAATATAAATTTAGTAGTATACACTAATACTCTTAAAATAGGTGTTTTATATACTAATTCTAAGTTTGAACAAGCATTCTGTTTCTTTAATAATTTTATAAAAATAAATGCTTGAATGAATCAAATATTATTTTGCATGCGCTATATTAAAGATTATATATAACATATCAAGTAGAGATCTTTTAACATTCCTATTACAGAAGAAGGGTCATTTCAGTAATTACTAAATGTTAAACATAAATGTCTTTCCCAAGAACTTTAGTATAGAGAAATATTTTCTGATACAGACTCTATTATTCATAATAAGGATGTGCTGACTGTTTAATTATAGGTTACCTATATATTAGAAAAATTCTGTTCCTGACACTTATTTAGTTGAAGAATGGTTAATTTTCTTTAAAAAGCTGGTATAGTAGTTTTGATCATAGAAATTACTTCTAAATCTAAAGAAATATATTATTGCAAGTGGTAAAGTAAAATGCTTAATTGTGAAAGTAAAAAAAATATCAAATATATCTAATATTTCAATTGTTAATTATGAGACTGCTGAATTTTTAGAAAATAAGCTAAGAAAGACTTTAGAAGAAATGTATTTTTTAAACTAATACCATATTGTGGATTGTTATCAGATTCCACTTGAATTACTAACTAAAGAATTTATTTCAAATTATGAGAATTACAATTATATAAAATAGTTTAAAGCTTATAAGTAATCACAAGATATTAGTACTAACAATGAAATAGCTATTAAGGCTATTTTTCATAAAGAATACAGAAAGAATAAGCTTACAATTACAACCTGAGCTGAGAAACATTGAATTTGTCTAAAATTATTAAGATTTGCACACCAGCTAAAAATATTGATAATAGAGTTAGATATAATAATATATACTGATAGATGAAGCCTTTTGCTGAATTATATTATATAAAAATGACAGAAGGCTTTACCTACCTAATTCATAATCGAATAGTATTAACATATATCGAATAAGTTCTGAATATTTTCTGTAATTTACGTGATATCTACTTTGCTAGAACTAGTAAGATTATCTAATATTAATTCATTAAGTGAGAGTTTACTGTAACAATATTGAGTATCTTTATTATTTTTTCAATAAATTTCTTTATTCATTTAATTTTAAGAATGTCTTTATTATTACAGTAGCAGTCATAAGTATCCGACCGCTCGAGATCATCCAAAATTATTATATAACTACCCCTTAAATTTTCTAGAAATATAATGTAACACAATACATAATCACCTGTAAATTTATAAGTATCAATGATACAAAAA